GCAGAACAGTTTCATATGATTTAATCTAGCTAAAGGGGATAGCTGAGCCAAAGCCTGGGATGGGGAAGAAAAGTGAAGCAAAGACTGACTTAGAACACTACAAGGAATGGGGTGTGATGAAGACATTCAGAAGGGACCAACAACCTATTCTCTGTGTAAGCTGGGTTCCTTTAGTTGGAGATTTCCTGCAAGGAGAACAGATTCCTATCCAGTAAAGGTGCTATATCTAAAGGATGGTCTATTTCAAAGAGATCTACTTCTTGTGCAGAGTATCAGTGTTCTTGAAACAAGGACATCTCACTTCTGGCTCCAGAATTTGCCAAAGTAAAGGGAGCTCATCAGTAATTGTTTCTTAAATTTACAGAGGACCTTTCTCCAATGAGCTTCAATGGCTTTTAGCCAGTGAAAATACTAAATTTTCTCTCACGACATCCCTGCAAAGGAAGTAGAAAATGGAGAACTGAGGTGAACTTCACTTGCCAGAAGTTCCTCCAACAGCAGAATATAAAGACTGTAGCAGCTTTCCCTTTATTTCAGCCCTCTAATATCACTAAGGGGTGACAAATGTGGCACCCATGCTGTCACTCACCCTGTGTATGCCCATGAGCCGTTACTGAAAACATGGCACTCTTTCCCACTGAACCCAGACTCAACTGCAGAATCCTTCTCAACACAATGCTCTAAGCAGCTACTACCAATAGATAAGTGAATGCATGGGGAAAGGACATACAAGGACACTCATGCAAGGACAAAACCCAGCAGAACAGAATGGGATAAGAATTTAACGCCTGGGACTTCCCTGGTGGTGCAGTGGATAAGACTCCGCACCCCCAATGCAGGGGGTCTGGGTTCAATCCCTAGTCAGGGAACTAGATCCCACATGCATTCTGCAACTAAGTGTTTGTATGTCACAACTAAGGAGCCCAAGTGCCGCAACTAAGGAGCCAGTGAGCCGCAACTAAGGAGCCCACGTGCCACAACTAAGGAGATGCAAGCCGCAACTAAGATCTCACACAACAAAATAAACAAACAAACAAACAAATAAATAAACGAATTTAACACTTTTTCCACTTGCTTTAGGTACAGGTTATGTCCTATGTTCAAGATATCAAATGTAGCTCATATATTAGACATTCTGTTACATTCTTCCCTAAAAGTACTTTGTTAATATGTATAAAGTAAGATACATTTTAAAGTATACATTCATATATACATTGTATAGTTTTGTGGACCTTTGTACAACACTAACAAGGTATGGGTTGGTACACGTATGATGCCTGCCAAAGTTTCTGGGGGCAAAAAGTACACCTACTCACTATGAAAATTTAGGTTTTCCACATACAGGAATGAAATTCAAATTAATGTTAACTATAATAATAAAAATAAATGTTAATATTAACTCAGCACCTACTATGAGTCTGACCCTACATTAAATGCTTTAATTCTAATCCTCACAATAATCGTATGAGAAAAGAACTATTCTTATTCCAATTTTATTGATGAGAAAACTGAGGCTTAGAGAGTTTAAGGTTACAGAATTATTGAGTGGAAGCAAGGTTGGAGAGTTCAAGCTCTAATCACTAGGCATACCTTCCTCCTAAAATTATCTTGATAAGATTATATTTAAAGGCTGTTTCCACATTGACAAAATGAGGCATAGTATATTTAAAATTTCAAAAGCCCTAGTATTTAAGTTAAAAGATGACAGCACCCTTCTTGGGTTTTCAAGGCTGTAAGGTGTAAACTTTGTCTTAGGTTCAATTTGTAGAAATGAAAAACACAGATCACACGTAACACCCAGGCCTCATCATTTTGTCCATTAAGGAAGCAAGCTCTTCTAACACAGATATTTGGAAAGGGGAGTATCCACACACAAATGAGGGCTGCTAGAGATTTACATGAGGAGGCTCTGGGATAGGAAAAACAAGTTCAAGTTCAGTTCAAGAAACAAGGACAAGGGCAAATCAGTGCGAGGAAGTGAAAGAAAGCCAGTGTGGCTAGAGTACAGAGAACCAATGTCACCTGGCAATGGTGGATGAGAATTTCAACGAAAATGACTCCAGAAGACCAAGTCTTTCAGCCAAGGTTGTACCGTAAGTTTATGCATTTAGTGCCCCTTCCCTGTCACCTCACAAGCTCCAAACAGCAAAAATATATAAAAATATAAACATGTAGGGTTTTTTTTTTGATATGTCTGTGTGATTTGGAAAAAAACAAAACAAAACAAGATTCAATCTCATGGATAAGACACAAAATAGAAATGCAAAGGATACTGCAGACAGAGGCATCCAGGAGTCCTACTTCAGTGGGCTAATGAAGCTACAAATATCCCCAGGAAAAGGCTGGGATGTGAGCTAGCTTATTGCTGGAAATCAGAGAATGTGGAGGGGGAAGCCCCACACCATGATGAAAGGAGGCTTTAAAAATCTGCCTATCCAGATTGACGGTGGGATGCAGACAGTCTCACAACCAGGACCTGGCCATGCTGCACGCTGGCCTGGTGGTGGCTCTTATATACTCCTGGTTGATGTGGAACAGAGGCCCCAGCTGCAAATATCAGACTTGGCTCTGGGCTGGGGTCATCAGAGGTAGGAAGTAGGTCATAGAAAATCACAGGTGAGTGCAGAGAAAGGACACAGGGAAAGCAGGCTCAAGATGGCGCCCTAAACTATAATTCCAAAGTCTGTGAGAAAAACTAGCATTAAGGAAGATGGTCAATAAACTTAACATCAGACTTATCTCCTCCAGATGGAATGAACCTAAAAATGACTTTAATCTGGAGCTTTAAAAACAAGTCGGTTTTTGCACAGATTATCTTCATTGGTTATATTTGAACATTCCTCAAATTAAATAAATCATATAAATCTTGAAGTTTTAAATGGTGAACTTGTACCTTCCAGCAAAGTGACTGGAAACACAGCATGGTCGCTACATTTAGCATCCAAGAGACCCCTGGATATGGCTGTGTTCCCTAAGAGCCATGAAGTAAGAACTTCCAAGGTCCCTGTACCACTGTGGCACGTTCAGAAACTAAAAGACAGTCTTGGGACAGTGTGTGATGTGGGATGGACCTGGATTGCCGAGGTAGACAACACAGAGGGAAAAGCTGAGCCAGTCCTGCGACCGAACACCTTTCTTTGACAGAAGGATGGGAAAGTGGATTGAATAAGAAAATGGTTCCTGAAAATTAAACTTGGCTTTATAACTAGACTCAGGCTAAAGCTGGAATGAACTTATTAAAGTCTCCATCTTCTCTGGCACAGAGGGAAAATAAGTGTTTATGTGTATAAAGCAACATTACATGCAAATTAAAGTGAGAGATCCTAAATATAAAAGATGACCAATTGACGAATGAACGGCTGAGTGACCAACCCATTCTAAGTCAGAAAAAAGGTGAGGCCTCAAGCACATTCCTCTTACTCTTTATGATGTAACCTCAAAAATAAAAGCTCTGTGAAAACCAACTCAATCAATTTCAAATAACACATCAAAAAAAAGTTTCTATGGTATTCAGTCCTAGAATTTCATTCATTGCACTGCTCCAGTTGCTATGGTGTTATAAGCACTGGCTGTTTGAATGAATCATGTGTTCTCCCTTTATCCAAGGAGGACATGGCAATAGGTGCTACTAAGTGCAAAGGACTGGGGGAAGATCACATACTAGGCTCTAATCCCAACCAGATTTTTGGCTTAGGGAGAGAAACACCCCTGTGGAAAGCTGCCAAAGTGGGTGAGATTAGCTACCCTCATGAAACTAGAACTCCCACGGAGCCATGATACGTTAGCCAAGGAGTAACCTTAGTCATTTTTTTTTAATCCCAGAAGGAAGTGATAACAGTGATGAAAAAATTGTTCTTCCCAACCCCTCAGGGGAGACCTTGGAGAGGTCCCCAAACACCCATATGGCAAAATCTAGTTTGTCTAGAATTATAGATTCTAATGCCATGAAGCAGTGTTGAGAGGTGGCAAGCTCCCTGTCCCAGGCAACGTTGGAAGCGGAAGACCCGTGGTGATGCGTCATAAATGTGTGGACTTGCCTGAGGTGGGAGGCTGCTTGACTGTTGCTTCCAATCTGGAACCAAAGACTCAGAGCCAATTTAGGCCAGTGCGTCCCATGGAGTAAAGGCAAGGCCAACCCAGCCAGCAGACACTGAAAAGGCTCCGAGACCACTTCGGTTGTAAACCCACAGCTTTTGGGCAGCCCACTCTCTTTTGACTTAACTGAAGGTTAAAGAATTATAATAACTAATGTGCATTTACTGCCATGGATCTAAAACCAGCAAATTCTGCTAACAGAGATTTTTTTAGAAAGGAAATCAAGGAGCAACATATAATTAGCTGAGAGTTATTTAGGAGTTAATTATTCAGTCCTTTGTTTCACTTCCTTCTTCTTCCTACTTGATTCCTTTTGACCACTTCTCTGTTGACTTGCTTCCCTTGCCCGTTAGAGAAGTAAAGCAGGTGAGACCCAAAGTTATAACGGGGCATTCTGTGGTTGGAAGCTGTCATAAAAGGTTTGGTAAAGTGAAGGAAGAAGAGGGCGTGAGGATATTATAATCACTGAAAAAGTGATTGTTAGCTTTTTTGTTTTGGTTAGTAGGGTATAAAGGAAAGTGTGGGCTCTGGACTCAAACAGAATGAGCTTTGGTTTCTTGTTTCTGCCACTTAATAGACTAGCTATGTGTCCTTGGGCAGATAACTCAGTTGGTCTGACTCAGCTTCCTCACAGAGAAAACAGGAATATCAATATCTGTGTTGGAGGACAGTTGCAGTGATTGAGTAAAATAATCCAAAGAGACAAATATATTTCTTCCCATCCAGTAGGCTCTCGAGCTGCATTATTAAAATTATCTAAAATTTACTCTTCTTAGATAATTAAGATATGACGAAAAGCAAATGCTCTTAAACTGAGAAGTAGGAGTTCCCAAGTAAATGTACAGATTTTAATCTGAAAACTTGTTGATTTAAATTTGCATCTTAATATTTGCATTAAACTTTACCTGTCGACTTCCCTGCTTGGAAGAGCAACTACTTGTGCTCCTTGAAGGTGAGGCCAATTTGGGGGACACCCCAAGGCTCTTCTCATCACTCATCATGAACGGCAGGTCCTTGGCCTTGATGTAGTCAAAATGCCATAGAAGACGGTGGAGCACAGAGTATGGCAGTCCGACACAAGCAGGTGGCTCAGCTTTTATCCGATATGTTTTAAAAGCATTTTGGATGACCCAGAGGAAATCCCTAAAGCAAAAAGAAAAGAATTAGAGAGAAGGTACAAGGCATCAGGCATCATCTATAATTAGCACTGATCGCCCACAAGTGGTTTATCTACGCTACAGATTACAGAGCCACGATGGTTACTCACATCAGGGGCTGTGAAGGAAAAGACGCATTATACCTATCTCTTATTGGAAATTATGTATAGGCGGTTTTTCATGTAACTTTGCAATATAATAGGCTTAAGAACGTGAGTAAGAAAATTTGAGTCCAGACACATACAAAATCTGTACTATAAAAACCATCCCAAACCACGAGATACCACTTCATACCAACCCTGACAGATACAATCAAAAAACTGAAAAATAACAAGTGTTGGAAGAAACTGCAACCTTTAGGCATTTGCTGCTAGGAATGCAAAATGGTGTAGCCGTAGTTGAAAACAGTTTGGCAGTTTTTAAAAAGTTAAACATAGAATTATCGTATGATTCAGCAACTCCACTCCAAGGTATATACCCGAAAGAACTGAAAACAAGTATTCTAACAAAAACTTGTACAAGAATGTTCACCACAATGCTATTTATTCACAACAGTCAAAGGTAGAAACAACCCAAATGTCCATCCACTGATGCATGGATAAACTACATATGGTATATATGCTATGGTCTGGATGTTTACACCTCCCCCCAACCGCCACCTCCACCCAGCTTCATATGTTGAAATCCTAATGCCCAATGAGATAGTATTAGGAGGTGGGGCCTTTGGGAGGTGTTAGGTCCTGAGGGCAGAGCCCTCATGAATGGCATTACTGCCCTTATGAAAGAGACCCCAGAGCTTCCTGGCCCCTCCCATCATGGGAGGGTACTGTGATAAGCCTGCCACCCGAAGAGGGCCCTCTGACCATGCTGGCATACTCATCTTGGACTTCTAGCCTCCAGCACTGTGAGGAATAAATTTCTGTTGCTTATAAGCCACCCAGACTGTGATATTTTGTTATAGCAGCCCAAACAGACTAAAACAGCATATTCACACAGTGGACTATTATTCACTTCTGTTATACATGCTATAACATAAATGAACCTTGAAAACATTATGCTAAATGAAAGAAGCCAGACACACAAAAAAACACATAATGTATGTTTCTATTTATATGAAATATCCAGAGTGGGCAAATCCATTAGCGACAGAAGGCCAATTAGGGGTTGCCAGGGGCTGGGGGATTTGAGGAATGGAGTCTAGCTATGGGGTTTCCTTTAATGGTGATTAAAATGTTCTGGAACTAGATAATGGTGATGGTTGTACAGCACTGTGAAAGTGCTAAATGTCACTGAATTGTACACTTGAAAGTGGTTAAAAAGTTAATTTTATGTTATGCATTTTACTAATTAATTAAAAAAAAATCCTTTTCTGGTTTCTTGGGGGATAGAGGTGGGTAATTTGTTCTACCAAAGGTTTCTGGAGACATCTTATAAAAAAAAAAACTATAACATGATGTGACAAAAACTATGGGGGAAAGCAGAATTTTCCATACCATCTATTAGCATATTAGTAATTAAATCAATGATCATTTGTTGAGTCCATACTACTTACTGCCAAGCACTATATATTTCCCACACACAGTGTCTCATTTAATCAAAGTCTGATGGGATGGGTATTATCTGCATTTCACAGAGGAAGAAGCCAAGTTTCTGAGAAGTTAAGTCAGTTGCCTAGTCATGAAGCTGGCGAGAGACTGAATCCAGGCTAGGTCCCAGGCCTTTAAGCTTGGTGCTGGAAATGAGCATGCCTTGATGGCCAGGTCTGGTGATAACAGCTACTGCCCCATCTTTGGGACCTAAGAGAACTCAGGAGCTGAACTAGGAAGACTCAGGAGGGAGCACGTCATAAGCCAGCTTTGAAGAGGCAATGCCACATTCTCTCTACAGCACAGTGTGGACCTCCAAGATGGCGAGGATCTCTGGTGGCGAAGGGGATTGACCAGGGCATTGGCAGAGACCCCTTTATGAAACTGAGTCTCTCTGCTGACTTTATGATTAACCTCTCTATCCAAAACTTTATTCCCTTTCTTGTTTTGCAGCTGTGCCTCCTCAGCAGTGAGGAGCATCAAAGTGACAAAGCAAGAGCCTGTGGAGCCTTCTCAGGACAGACCCCACTCCCCATGTCCTCTGCCTGCCTCTTGTTTATACCGAAAAGCTTAGTCTCCCAGGCCTCCCCTGAGTATCAAAAGGCTGGCTCAAGAGTTAGTGATTAGGAAATGTGAAGATGTAGAAACAAAGAATAGCTGCTGTGACAGGAAACTGGTAACAATTTAGACCATAAATCAGCAGTCGCTGAACTCCCGGCTCCTTGAAAGATATAAAGGCCTGACACACATTCCTGAGTTGTTTCTACAGGAAGCAGACCCTCACCAGATGAAAACTGCTGACCTCAAGCACGGAGACCCCAGGCCAGTTGAAACTGGAAGATGGACGATGCTCAAAACTTCACCTTGATGCCAACCAATCCGAGGATTCTGCACGAGCTGGTCATGCACGCTGCAGCCCCGTCACTCACACTGTCTTTAAGACCTTTGTCTCCTAACTGGCGACTTGGAGATGGTCTTAAGACATTAGTCCACCGCCTTCCCAGATTGCCAGCCTCCTGAATAAAGCAACTTTTCCTTTTCCACCAACACTTATCTCTTGAGTACTGGCCTTTTGAGCAGCGAGCAGCCGAACTTGGTACCTGCCTCATCTGGTTACATTTACAAGTAGTTGGCTGGGCTGCCACCCCTGTAGCTCTTTAGGGGTGAACCACTTCCTTTACCCACAGCCCTGAGTTAAGGGTGACTAACACGTTTAGGTTTTGCCTTCAGACTTTTATTTGACACACTAAGTAAATGCTACAACTTTCCCAACCATGTTAACAACAATAAAAAAAAAAGTTTTATATCTAATTCATTTGGTTCTCAGTGTTCACATAGTCTAATTTTAAAAGAAGGATGTTATACAGCTGTCCAGGAACCAGCTAGTTAAATATTATATCAAATTTTTGGTTAATTATTAAGTACTCAAGTCTCCTATGCCTTTCACTAACACTTCTTAAATAATGAGCATGCTAAGGCCATAAACTAAAACCAAGACAATGCAGAGAAATAACAAAATCTCAGAAAATAAAATTAAGGTACCTGTAGGCATAGAACTCAATTCCCATGTTGCTTTCTATAGAACCACCCCCCCCCCCGCCACACTCACACACAAATCTCTGTATTCAGAGTACTGAATCCAACAATAAATAAGACTAAAAGCAAACCAACACCAGCATCTTCGTAAAGTTAGCTTTACTTATGAGGCATGACTAATTGTACCTGAAATTAGAAGCAAATGCATTCTAGTTAAAAACTGCCAAGAGAGGCTGTTAAGCTATATTCATAGTTTGTTTAATAGCAGTGTTGGCGGCTGCTGTTTAAGAAAGAGAAAAAAAAGAAACACCTGATGGAAACCCCAAATGATGAAATGTCTGTGGGGACAGCCATTGCTATGACAATCGGTTCCACAGTGAATGAGGAATACCAACAAAGGGACTCTGCTTGTGTGTGGAAGGTTTTTGTTTTGTTTTGTTTCAAGGCTGAGATTCTGATAATGAGAGCATGGGGTTGAGAGGTGGTGTATGACATGTGCAGAAGGGATAAAAAAAAGAGCATTGGGGCCATAAAGTAAGAGTCACGGGAATTCTGAAACTGGGTCAGAACAGAAACACCATAATCCTCTCCTAGAGGCAGTTGATTAAAAGAATGATCGTCATCTTTTAACTCTGCCAAATTTCACTTCACAGGCAACGGACAGGAAGGCCAGGGCTGTGAATAGGCTAAATCCCATACTCATTTAAATTGGTACTTTGAGTTAAGGCCTCTGAAGGTACCACCTGCTGTGACTTCTGGGAAAAGAAAGGGTGAGAATCTACAGCCCTTCCCACATCCATCACCAGATGAGTTTAAGATTATGCCTAGGGAAATATATTTCTTTCATCCCCCAGAACCTTACTGCCTAGCTTCATCAGAAATTCAGTCAAAATTACCAGGGGCAGCTTAAAGGGCAAAAGAATTCAAATTCTAGGGAAAGGATATGCTTAAAACAGGGCGGCAGCAGTAGCCCAAGACTAAGGTACTGGAGAAGTAAGGCAGTCACGTGGAATGAGGCATCTATTGTGTCCAACCTAGGGGACCCTGCAGGCTGGCCTGGGGGCATCACCACAGTAAAGACCTTGACGGGAGTCCTCAGAGGACCCTGACAAAGGGGAGTCACATGGAAGTCTGGTGTCGTCTACTCCAATTAGCTGACTAAGTAAAATGGCAAAGAGAAAGCCCTGCAGGGAGACAGACTCTAGCCAGGGGCCAGGCCATGGATCCAGGGGTGTAGTAGATCGTAAAGCAGGTACACATGAAAGACCCTTGGTGCTTTCACCCCTCCCAGTGACCCTTCCATGCACAACCTCTAACTCGAGAGGATTACTGCTTTGAACAAAATACAACAGTTTCCCTGCTCACAGACTGAACAACCTAAGGTCAATAATTTATTTCCTCCTTTATTTTTCACTGAGGCATAACTTACATACAGTAAAGTGAACAACTCCTTTTTTTTTTTTTTGGTAACATCTTTATTGGAGTTTAATTGCTTTACAATGGTGTGTTAGTTTCTGCTTTATAACAAAGTGAGTCAGTTATACATATACATATGTTCCCATATCTCTTCCCTCTTGGATCTCCCTCCCTCCCACCCTTCCTATCCCACCCCTCTAGTTGGTCACAAAGCACAGAGCTGATATCCCTGTGCTATGCGGCTGCTTCCCACGAGCTTTCTATTTTACATTTGGCAGTGTATATATGTCCATGCCACTCTCTAACTTTGTCCCAGATGACCCCTCCCCCTCCCCACATCCTCAGGTCCATTCTCTAGTAGGGCTGTGTCTTTATTCCCATCTTGGCCCTAGGTTCTTCACAACTTTTTTTTTTTTTAAGTTCCATATATATGTGTTAGCAGACGGTA